GGCGAGGCAGCATTTACTGGCGCTGAGCCATGCACCGCTTCGTTTGGGTAGCAAGCGCACTGAACAGGAAATGTGCTGGATTTCTGTCCTTGAGGGCACTGTGGTGCTAAGAAAACGAAGGAACTGGGGGAAAGGGTCCCTTGTCCTGGCCCATAGAGTTTTGAGCATGTCACAAGACTTCTGTGTAAACAAAGTTTTCCAAGGAGGAGGAGATTACGTGGCCACATTGCGAAGGTTCCATTCCCATGACTAGTCCTTTGATAGAAAAGACTTGATCCTTCCAACTCTTTCCCCCACTACCTCAATGTACCCAGCCTAGAAAATCCCTTGGAGTGGCTCAGAGACCATCACCAAAGTTACTCAACATCCTGTCAAGCTGACAGTATTAGCTAGTACCACAATCTGATTTCAACAGTTCATTTAGACTAGCTAGCCCACAGCTCCTGAGGATCCGCTTGGGCACTGGAATTGTGGGTGTGTGCCCCTGTGCCCAGCTGTTTTTATGTGAGTTCTGAACTCAGTTTCTCATGTTTGTATCGCAAGCCATTTACTGATTGAACCATCTCCCCCACGCCCAGAGAGCTCTTAAGACTAAATTATGTGCCAGGTTTGAAGTGAAACGCTGTGTTTCTAACAGTAAAGAAGCAAACTAACGAAAGACTAAAACCGGAGTCTTTCAAGGTCCATGTTGGGCAGGGCGCTATGAGGACCTCTGCAGATCCGCTTCCCCCCCCAAACTGGGGGAAACCAACGCGAACAAGTACACATTTAAAGTCCTGGAGAATTATCGTCGTCATGAACAGAAAATGAAGACTCACCTACAAGTGCTTCTCAACTTATGATGGTGTCCCAACCAGATAAACGCATGGTAAGTTTAACATGGGAGAAAAGCATTAAATCTACCTAAATTTCCTTAAACGTGCTCAGACACTTATGTTCGCAGACCGTTGGACAGAATCATCTAACCCCTACTAGTTTGTAATGAAGCGTTGGCTGTTTGCAAATTCTGATGAAACAGAATGTGTGTGGGCGGGCTCACCTTGACTGGGAGCTGACTGTGAGCAGCTCCCAGCAGCTCTCAGAGAACTTTGGGCAGTAGGTCTCTAACCCAGGAAGAATCCAAAGCCCACACTCCAAGTGTGACTTCTACCAGGCAAATGTCTGTCTCACATACTGTAAAGTTGAAAAACCCATGAAAACCATTCTAAGTCCAAGACTGCCTGCATCCAAGGGGCTGGGGATGTGAAGGGAGGTGAGGTGGGGGAGGGGAAGGAGAAGGAAGGACCAAGTGAGACCCCACACATTCTTCCTCCAGAGGGGCAGAGTTGACTCATCTGTAGAGTAGTTTATGACTCAGAGAATTCTAGAAATGGCAATTACTGGGGGTTTAACAGCTGTGTGAGGGCTGTTAAATCAGGGAAAGAGACGGGGTAACCCTGACAAAATCACCTTTATCCTGGGCCACTGTGGGTCTACCTGAAGTTGTGCCTGCTGAGGAACAAATAATCCACTCACTAAATAAGCAAACGAGAAAATAGTATAACAAGCCCTGGAGAAAGTGACGAGTACCTAGAATTATTACTCCTAACAACAACAAAAAAAAAAGTTACGAAACACACAAAAGCAAGAGGAAAAGCATGACCCAAACGCAGACAGAAAAAACTGTCCATGACATCGATCAAAGGCTGGGTTTTTCAGGGACAGGGACAGCCACAATCCAGCGCACGTTGCCAGAGGGCTCTTTAGCAAAGCATAGATAAGTTAAGGAATACGTGAAGATGGCATCATGCCACATAGAGGGTATCAGTGAAAGGGAAGAACTTGTGTGGAAGAGACAAAGGGAAGTGAGGAGATGAAAAGTACAGGAAGGAAAACGCAGCTTGAATGCCTGGAAAGTAGATCTGGTCGAGCAGAAGGGAGAACGTGTGGAGTAAGCATAGGCTGGTGAGCTGGGAGCAGTGGTGTGTGCCGAGTCCTGTGGACAGCTTCAGAGAGAGAGAGAGAGAGAGAGAGACCTGTGGACAGCTTTACACACACACACAGAGGGACACAGAGAGAGAGAGTCCTATGGATGACAGAAGTCAGAGAGAGGGAAAGTCCTGTGGACAGTTTCACAGAGAGAGAGAGACAGAGAGACACACACACACACACACACACACACAGAGAGTCCTATGGACAGCTTTACAGAGAGAGAGAGAGAGAGTCCTATGGACAGCAGTCAGAGAGAGAGAGAGAGAGAGAGAGAGAGAGAGAGAGAGAGAGAGAACTGTGAGCCGGGCGGGGTGGCGCACACCTTTAATCCCAGCACTCAGGAGGAAGAGACAAGCAGACCTCTGTGAGTTCAAGGTCAGCTTGGTCAACAAGAGCTAGTTCCAGGGCAGGCTCTAAAGCTACAGAGAAACTCTGTATTGAAAAAAAAAAAAGAACAAAGAATGAATGAAAAAATGCCAACAGCTTCACACAAATATGGGACGTTCTTGAAGACATCCATCAGATGAAAGGAAGGAGAAAGGAGAAGAGGAAATAGTCAAGAAATTTGGCAAAAAAAACTTCCCAAATATATCAGAGAAACGGCAACTTCTATATCTGGGAATCACAACAAAGCCCAAGAACAACACGAACTACAAAGAGAAATGACATTGAAAATGCTGACAGTCAGAGGAGATGAGAAACTCCTCCAAACAGTTTACAAGGGAGCCTGGTAAGACTCATATCTGAGACTCTTTAATCCCAGCACTTGGGAGTAAGCCTTTAATCCCAGCACTTGGGAGGCAGAGATGGGATGATTTCTGTGAGTTTGAGGACAGCCAGGGCTGTTACACAGAGAGACCCTGTCTTGAGAAAACAAAAACAACAAAAAAGAGACTCACACCTGGCTCATCAGCACAAATCATAAAAGACAGGAAGACCGCGTGTTTTGCTCAGGGGGGTGGAGGACAGCTGAGAACCCTACATCTAACACAGCACAGCTGTCTCTCAGAAAAGAAGATGAAACAAAGACTTTTCCAGATGAACAACGACAGAAACTGAGAACTTGTTGCTAGCACATTTGCTCTGTGGGGAATAGCGGAGAAGCGCTTCAGGATAGAGCCAGTGACCCCAGCCAGCAACTTTAATTCACATAGACAGACGGTGATAGAAGTAGAGAAAGATAAAACTAAAAGGCACTAGTAAGGGTGATCATAAAAGATGGTTGATATGGTCTGAATGAGAATGGCCCTCATGGCTCATATATTTGAATGCTTGGTCCCCAGTTGGTGGAATTGTCTGAGAAGGATCAAGGTGTGGCCCTGTTGGAGGAGGTGTGTCAATAAGGGTGGGCTTTAGTCAGGCCATGGCGATGCACACTTTTAATCCCAGCACTCGGAGGCAGAGACAAGTGAATCCCTTGAGTTCGAGGCCAGTCTGATCAACAAGAGATAGTTCCAGGACAGACGTTAAAGCTACATAGAGAAACCCTATCTTGAAAAAACAAAACAAACATAAGGGTGGGCTTTGAGGTTTCAAAAGACTTCAGCCATTTCAGGTCGGTCTCTCGCTCTCTGCCTCTGACTTGTGGATCAAAATGTGAGCGCTCAGCTCTTCCTGCTGCCATGCCTCTGCTCGGCCATCATGGACTCTAGCCCACTAAAACCATAAGGTCAAATTAAATGCTTTCTTTTATACATTTGGTGATGGTGTTTTATCATAGCAATAGAACAGTAACTAAGACGGAGGTATTTATTTTCTTCTGTCCTCTTTTAACTGATGTACACAGTGAGTAAAACAATTGTCACGTCACATGTATTCACACACACAAGGTAGGGCCTTAAACATATGGAAGCCTAATCTATTTGTCAATAATAGCACAAAGTGGGTAGGTGGGAGGAGATCCACACAGAACGAAGGCAATGAAAATCAATGGTAAGGTGATGTGGGATGTCCTGTATATGTGTTACTTTTATTTGTTGATGAATAAAGCTGTTTGGGCCAATGGCTTAGCAGAGCAAAAGCCAGGTGGGAAATCAGAACAGAGATAGAAAGTAGTCAGAGTCAAAAAGACACCATGTAGCTCCTGAAGGAAGAGGACGCCATAACCTTACTGGTAAGCCACAGCCTCATGGTGATACAGATTAATAGGAATGGATTAATTTAAGATGTGAGAGTTAGCTAGGAATATGCCTAAGCTACTGGCTATACAGTGTTGTAATTAATATAGTTTCTGTGTGATTATTCGGGTCTGGGCAGCTGGGAAACAAAAGAGCAGTATCTGTCTATAAAATGGCACCCACTGTCTGGGGCATGGATCTACATAAGACTTAAAAAAGCTTAAGAAGAAAAAAAGGGGGGCTTCTAGACTCACAAAAAAATGGGAGCCAAGCCCAGTATCTTGGTAGCTGCATCTTTTTTTTCAAATAGACTCTGTTTGCTGGCAGTGAGCAAAAGGCATCCTGACTCAGGATATGATCTAGAAATGAATACTTTGCCTTGGTATGGATCTTGGTCTATTGATATAAATTTAAGGTCAGTTTTGTTATACTGTGTATATTTATTTCTGCTCTTATTTAAGGTATTTAAATTTCTGCTCTTATTTAAGCTCAATTTAAAATGTAATGTATAATTTAAGAAATACAGATTAATAGAGAGTCATCTATAATAATCAAACTTTTAGACATGTTAGTTAAGTTTTCTAGATATGCAGAGATATATTTCAGTTAGATAGATAACCTTCAACACTTCAGAGACCTACAGAATATGGCATTTAAAAGGTTTTAAGGAGTTAAACTTTTGGGGCTGGAGAGATGGCTCAGAGGTTGAGAGCATTGCCTGCTCTTCCAAAGGTCCTGAGTTCAGTTCCCAGCAACCACATGGTGGCTCACAATCACCTGTAGTGGGGTCTGGTGCCCTCCTCTGGCCTGTAGGCATACACACAGACAGAATATTGTAAGTAAATAAATAAATATTTGAAAAAAAAAGAAGTTAGACTTTTCTCAACAGTGAGACATATCTGCTTTTGGCAGCACCAATTATTTCAGAGAAATTGATGGTCACTGAAGAAGCTTGTTAAAGAATTTGCCTTCAATGTGACAAGGGTAACCATTGGACATGACGCTGCTCTTGCTGAACTGCTTGATGGTATGCTGCATGAGCTGGATATGCAGGATCCACAGAAAAATGACTGCTGAGCTTGCCTAAAGGTGAGATCCTTTGGGGTTTCTACTTCATGAAAGAGCCTGCCAGACATTCTGCAGGACACAGAAGAAAGTGTTTGACAAACTGCCAATATAGGTGAAACAGTCTTTCAAATTTCCTGCTTCATGGAAAAGTCTACCAGATACTATGGGCCTGTAGTTTGAAGATGCCCCAATGTGACAGAAGAACCCTGGGTGACTGTCCAGGCAGTGAGATGTCTCTGTCAGTTCTAGAGTCCTGGAAGTTGCTTACAATGCACTCCCTGCTTACTTAAGTAATATTATATACTTCTGTGGTCCTTGAAGAGTTGAAGACAGATAGTTGCAGTTTTCTTTAGTTATGATAAAGGATAAATTAGATATAAAACTTTAGACTCACACAAATAGGATAGATGATAGAGTATATCCTTAATTTGCCAAATGTAAATGGACTAAATATTGTAACTATAATTCTTGCTTGATAACTGTTTTGTATATGTACTTTTACTATGTTAAAGTTAAAACTTTCTTTTTTATTTAGAAAAGAGGAGATGATGTGGGATGTCCTTCTGTATATGAGTTGCTTTTACTTGTTGATGAATAAAGCTGTTTGGGCCAATGGTTTAGCAGAGTAAAGCCAGTGGAAAATCAGAACAGAGATAGATAGATAGATAGATAGATAGATAGATAGATAGATAGATAGATAGTAGGTGGAGTCAAAGAGACACCATGTAGCCACTGAAAGAGGAGGAAGCCATAATCATACTGGTAAACCATAGCCTCATGGTGATACACAGATTAATAGAAATGGGTTAATTTAAGATGTAAGAGCTAGCTAGGAATGTACCTAAGCTACTAGTGTTGTAACTAATATAGTTTCTGTGTGATTATTCGGGTCTGGGCAGCTGGGAAACGAAAGAGCAGTCTCTGATTACAGTAAGGTGACAACATTGTACTGCTGAGGTTGTGATGTTAGTAAAAACAACAATACACACAAAAAGGAAAGGGAAGTACTATTAAGGATTAATATTTTTAGGCATCACTGGTTGCAAAGAAACAAATCAGAAGCCCATTTAGGTAAGTTAGGATTTAGAAGCAAGTCAAGCATGGTGGCGAATGCCTTTAATCCCAGCACACAGGAGGCAGGGGAGGAGAATCTCTGTGAGTTTGAGGCCAGCCTGGTCTACATAGTGAGTTCAGGACAGTCAGAGCTACATAGAGAGACTGTATCTCATATATAAATATGTATATGTAGAAGCAGAGGCCAGTGAGACAGCTTAGCAGATTTAGCTTGAGGTGCCATGCTGCCAAACCTGTTTGATCCCTGAGACTCACATGGTGAAAAAAGAGAATCAACTTGGTTTTTGATTTCCATATGCACACACACGTGTGTGTGTATGCATGTGTGTATGGATTGAAATTTTATATTGTTTACATTAGTCAAAAAGAAGTCCTAAAGATTAGTAGAGAGACAACACATGGGCATCTTGAAGACTAGGTAAAGTTATAGACACTGAGCAGCTACATCAATGATATCATTAAGTGTTTCTTGTTGTTTGGTTTGGGTCTCATACTGTAGTGCAGGCTTCTGGTACTCATGATCCTCCTGCCTCAGTCTTCAGAGGGCTGTATAGCACCACACCTAGTCACATAACATTAAATATTAATGGACTAAGTATTGCGTTCAACCCAAAAGATACAAACAAAATCTAGCAACTCATAAAAAGATTTTGACAGTATCAACAAGTAGGATTTCTCCCAGGAATGAAAGGTTGGTTCATCATATGAAAATTAATTAATTCAACACATTGTATCAGTACAATAAAAAAAGGAAGGCTGGTTGAGTCACAGAGACACTGTAAACTATGGCAGCCTGTGTTCTGTGAGAGAGGGTTTTAAAAAGACATAAAGTGCTGGTAGAATAGTTGAACAGGTGAGGGCATCTGCCGCAAAGCCTGGTGGTCAGAGCACCCCCTGGGATCTATAGAGAAAGAACCAACACCTGGAAGTTGTCTTCTGACCTCCACAAGCACATTGTGGCAGGTATGAGTGTGTACGTGTCTGTGTGTATACACATAAAAATAAATAAATAAATGTGATAACTAAATAGATACACGTTTTTATAAAGCAAAACAATCATTTCTCTAATCCCAAGAGAAAAGTCATTTAGCAAAATACAAAATACAACCTTTTTTCATGATTAAAAACATTCAAAGAACTAGAAATAGAAGTGAATTCCCTCAACACAATAATAGAATCTACAGAAAGCCCACAGCTTGCATCATGTGCCGTAAAGATGGGTTATTTTCCTCCAAGTCCGGGAACAAAGCCTCTTTTTACCACTTCAACTCAGCATTGTGCTGGAGGGGCTAGCCATGGTAATTAAATATGAGAAATAAATAATTTCATGCATTAATATTTAAAAAGAAGTAAAATTATGTCTAGTTATGAATGCTATTACCTTGTGTCTAGAAAATCACGAGGAATTATACACAGATATGGGGACTAATGGGTGCACTCAGCAAGGTCACAAGTTGCAAGACCGACACATACAAAAATCACTTTTATTTTTGTACACCTGCAGTGAGTAACCTGAACAGGAAGTCAAGAGCTAGACAATTTTGTTTGGGTTTTTTTTTTTTTTTTGCCTGAGACAGGGCTTCTCTGTATAACAGCTCTAGCTGAACTGGAGCTCGCTTTGTAGGTCAGGCTGGCCTTGAACTCACAGAGATACATCTGCCTCTGCCTCCAGGGTGCCAGGATTAAAGGTCTGTGCCTGACTGAGAGCATTCTAATTGTAATGGTAAGAATATAAGATTAATGAATACATCTAGCAAATACAACATAAAATTACACTTCAAAACCTACAAAAAGTGCTGAAATTCAAGAAGGTTGAATAACTGGGCAAACATCCCAGCTCACAGGCAAGAAGACTTAATGAGAGGTGACTACATCGCAGGAAGACATGTTCCCCAGGTTCTTCTTCATCTTTGGGGAAGCTGGCAAGATGATTTTAAAACCTGATGGAATTAGAGGCTAGAGAGAGTCAGTCAGCAATGTGTTTGCAGAATAAGCAGAAGGATCCATGTAAAAAGTCGGGTACGGGTAGGGTGTGTTTGCATTCCCAGTGCTGGGGGGATGGAGACAGGAAGATGTTGATGGTGGCACAGAGGGCCCAGAAGAGCCACCACAATATGCAAATGAAGTGCAATTTAAGAAGATATGATTCTCCTGATTTTTAAAAGCAACTACAAAACTACAGTAATCAAAACAGCATGGTACTGGCACAAGAGCACACACTGATCAGCAAGGACAAAGTGGGAGCTGCTCTGACTAGACCTGAAGCATCCCCTAAGGTCTCATGTGTTGAAGACTTTGTTGTAGCCCATGGTGCTGTATAGGTGAAAGGAAATTATGTTAAGGGAGGCACCTGCCATGCTTAAAACCTTTGGGGGTCAGGGGATCAAAAAGATGGCCCAGTGGTTAAGAGCAGAGAACCTCAGTTCTGTTCCTAGCACCTATAACTCCAGCTCCAGATCCGACTCCTTCTTCTTAACTCCAAGGGCACCTACGCCCACATGTACACACACACACACACACACACACACACACACACTTAGAGAATATATAAATAATTAAAACAAAACAAAACACAATCATTTTCCTGGGCCAGGGAGTTGGCTCAGTGGTAAAAGTACTTGCTTCCCAAGCCCAAAGACCTGAGTTCAGATCCCAGCACTTTGTTTGAAAGTTGGGCATGCTGTCATCTTGTGTCTGTAAATCAGGAACTCCTATGGAGATGAGAAACAGATAATTGGCCCAGGAAGTTCATGGGTCAGCTAGTCTGGAATACACAGTGGATCCAGATGCAAACATCAAGAAAGATCCTGCTTCAGATCAGGTGGAGAGCACCCAAGACTGTCCCCTGACCTTCACGCGTGTCCTGTGACACATCTGTGCCCTCACACACAAATGCACACACACACACACACACACACACACACACACACACACACACATGCAAAACAACAACAAACCCTTTCTCAAACTCCAGCTCTGTTTCCCACGTCTGGTCCTGGTTCTGCTATGCAGTCAGAACCCAGCTCTCCCTGCGGGGAGGCCTCGGACCAGATCCCTCAGGTCACTAGGGTAGCCCTGTGGAGGTGTGTCTCTGGCTCCAGCTGCAGCTGACATGTCTGGGTTCTTGTCTCAGGCAAAAAAAAAAAAAAAAATTCAGAGACAAGCAAAGTAAGGAACCCAAAGGAAGTTTATTACCAAGATGAGGTCTGTACCCAGTGGGGCAGCAGTCTTTCCAGGATCAGGAGGCCTCTTGGGATCCTAGACAGCTCATATTATAGCTAAGCTTTAATGGAAGGGAGATTATTCATGATTTCAGATGGGGGAACTCCAAGAATCGGTTGGACTTTCCCCAATGGGGCTTGCTCCCCATTTCTATTCTTACATGGGGTTTTCTAGGTGCTTCATGGGTAAAATGTGTGTTAGGACCAGGGTTTTATTTTTTTTTTCTTCTCTGTGTTCTTTTAGTGACAGGGTTTCAAATAGCCTAGGCTGACCTTGAACTCCTCCTCCTCCTCCTCCTCCTCCTCCTCCTCCTCCTCCTCCTCCTCCGGCAACTGCCACCTCCTACTGTTGGAACTACAGGCGTGGATCACGATGTCTGGTTGCTTTTTGCTGACCACTCTGTAGCCCAGACAGCCCTTGAACTCACTGTGATGATGCTCTTGCTTCAGCCTCCTGAGTGCTTAGCACAGGGTGTGGTGGGGTGGGCAGGTGATTTTGCAAGGCTAAAGTCACTAAAGTGAGGCAAAGGACAGCCAGCAGCCAGAGGCCATGTGGGCCTGAGCCAGCTCTGTGGTTACATCACCTTCCAGCTGCCTCTGCATCTGTGTGCTTGTCTAGACGACGTCATGTGTCACGGGCGCTTTCTTTCACGGCTTCCGGTAAGAAAGCTGGCAGTTCTGGTTCCATTTTTTAGCTCTCGGTGGTGGTTGTGGGGAGCAGGGTGGGACAGGGGAAGGTGTTACAAGAAGCGGGGGGGGGGGGGGGGGGACGGGGGAGAACTTGCCTCTTAGTTGGCTGGCAAGCCCAGAGCAGTCTTAGGGCTTTCTTGTGCAGGTGTTTGGGGGCCTCCTCACAGTCACATGTTCTTTTGTTATATTCCAGGAAGGAGGTTTTGAGTTGTGACATCACAGCGTCACTGACTAGACTAGCTGGCTTTTGCACGTATCCGTTCTCAATAAAGTGGTGCCAACCAGCCCTGGAGTAGATTCTGGGGCATTTTCTGAAGGATAGGTTAAGAATTTTTGTCTCTAAGGAACCGATGCTCAGGCCCTGGTCATCACATCCGTGGGAGGCCAGCTTCAACCCACTATACCACGGGGAGGCATAACCAGAATTTTCAGGGCAAAACCGGAAGTCCAGGCAGCCTCAACAAGTCAGGCTTGGCCACCTTGTCCTAATACAACAACAGGGGAGAGCAGTGAAATCAGAGACTTTCCCCTATAACCACATTTGAAAGAGGAAATAAAGAGTCCAATGACCTTGTCTGTCTCCAGGAGGCTGACTTGAGGTGTGCAGGGGGCTAAACAGGAAGCAAGGAGACAGGAAGCAAGACCCATGTTTAACTGTGCAGTCCTAGTCAAGCTGTGCCTTGGTTGATCAACAGCTCAAGTCTGGTTCTGCAAAGTAGTTCAAGAAATTTTTATTGCTCAATTGGATGGTCACCCATAGTGGTGACTGCCCTCCGCTGGGGTGTATTGGGGGTGTCTGTCCTGAGGACTCCTGGTTGCTGGGGGTAGTCTCAGTCCGTTGTCATAACCAGTTCATTAACCAGTTCTGTTTTTGCAGGAATCCAAGATGACCGTGCGAGCGAGTGACTTGGGAGGGAAAGGAAGACAGAGGTAGGAAATAAAGAGCTGATGAATGAGTCTCGCTCGGCCTGTAGCTGCCACCTTCTCTCGCCACTTCCTGACCTCTGCCTCATTCTAGGCCTTATCGATCATAGGGTTGGTCCTACAGCATCTCAGAGAGTTGAGTTGTGTTCACCCTTCTGTGAAGAGCTGATACTCAGCCAGGGGCAGTCAGCAGCCTGGGGCTCCCGACCTTCCACACCTGACTTCTGAGGGAGAAGCATTTCCCATATCAGATTGGGGTGGGCATGTGCCAACCCTAAGCCACATCACTCTGAGGTTCGAAAGTCTTGCCCGAGACTGAAGCAAAAAGAAAAGAAGCAGCTTAACTCCTGTCACCTTGAGTCTATGGCAGGGAGGGCAAGGGCAGAGAGCAGAGGCAGGGACCTTGAGGAGGCCTGGATGGGTCGCTTGAGAGCAGGCCGCCACTCCATGCTGTTCCCCTCAACAGCATTATTTGTTTGTTTCAATATGTCCTTTTTTGTGTGCTTGTGATAAGTGTAAATTGGCACACATCTTCCCACATTTTCATAGACCTTCAGAATATAAGCTATAAGAACGCCAGGCTGCTCACACTCCCTCCACCTGCTCACCAGTTCATACTGGCTGCACTGTGGCCTTCCAGCTATCCCCTGCAGCTATGTTGTCAGACAAAGACATGAATACAGAAGTCACGTGCAAAATAGCTCTGTTCCGCCAATGGTGGCAAAACGAGACAGCCACTTCAGAAGAACAAAATCAGATCCGTATATTCCACCCCACACAAGATCAATTTAAACTGCACCAAAGGCCTTGATTTAAAACCTGAAGCACTGAAACTTCTAGAAGGTCTATATGTAAGCAAGAACTGATAAGTAGCAGGGTGGTAGTGGCATACACCTTTGCTCCAGCACTTGGGAGGCAGAGGCAGAAGCAGGAAAATCACTGTGTTCAAGGCCAGCCTGGTCTATAGAGTGAGTTCTAGGACAGCCAGGGCTACACAGAGAAACCCTGTCTTGAAAAACAAAACAAAGAAAAAAGAAAAGAAAGAAGCAATGAGTGCTGAACAGGGTGACTCCTGCTGCCAGAGTGCAGTGGTCCTGGTGGGTAACTGCCTTCCTCTAGAAGGAGGTTTGTCCTGCTGGCTTCTGGTTGCCGGAGGGGGCATTGTTCCCATCCTTTGCCATAAAGATGTTTATTAGCCTGTCCTATCACACAAAGAACTGCAAAAATTAAACACCATAAAACCCCAAACTAACAATGAACAAATGTGCTAATGCAGTGTGGACCTCCTCAAAAGAAGATACACAAATAGCTAATAAGCATTTTCTAAAAATTAGAAGCAAGCGCATCTCTAAGTTTGAAGCTAGCCTGGTCTACAGAGTGAGTTCCAGAGAGTCAGGGATACACAGAGAAACCCTATCTTGAAAAAGAAAAAAAAAACAATAAACAAAAGATTTTAGCAGGGCATAGTGGCACACACCTTTAATCTCAGGACTCAGGAGGCAGAGAGGGGTGGATCTCTGTGAGTTCGAGGCCCAGTCAATATCGTGAGTTCCAGGACAGCCAGAGCTACACAATAAGACCCTCAAAACAAAAACAAAAAACAAACAAGCAAAAAACAACAAAAACAAAAGTTATTTAACACCTCTAGACATCAGGGAAAACGAATACTAAAACTTCTTTGCTAACTACCTCGCCCTAACGGTCACCATCAAGGAACCTGACAACTAATGTTGGCACAGACATGGGGAAGAGGATCCCTATTCTCTGCTCATGGGAGTATGAACTGGTGTGGCCACCAGGGAAACAGTATAGAGTTTCATAGGTAAGTTTAGGACTACCATATGACCCAACTCTTAACACTCCAGGGAATGTACCCAGAGGATTGTAGCATACCAGAGACACTTGCACATCTGTGATCATTGTTGCTTCAACACAGTAGCTAGGAAGCGTTATCAGCCTAGGTGTCCATCTACTGACACCTACGTCAGCCTAGGTGTCCATCTACTGATACCTACGTCAGCCTAGGTGTCCATCTACCAACGCCTAAGTCAGCCTAGGTGTCCATCTACTGACTCCTACGTCAGCCTAGGTGTCCATCTACTGACTCCTACGTCAGCCTAGGTATCCATCTACTGACGCCTAAGTCAGCCTAGGTGTTGGTCTACTGATGCCTACCTCAGCCTAGATGTCCATCTACTGACGCCTAAGTCACCTAGGTGTCCATCTACTGACGCCTACGTCAGCCTAGGTGTCCGTCTACTGACACCTAAGTCATGACACGGCAGTGCATACACAGGGAAGACCCATTTAGCTGCAGAGAAAACTGAAAACTTCAGGAAAATGGGTGGAGCTGGATAGCAGTACATTACACAAGATGGCCCAAGCTCGGGAAGAAAAAGCTTCGTGGTCTTTTCATATGTGGGTCCTAGTTTGTAACGTATACGCATGCTCAAATAAGGGGAAATGTGGGTAAAACACTAGAAAGGAGACAGAGAGAGAGTGAAAAGAGGTTCTGAGGAAGACGGGGGTGGGTGAGTGCACAGGACGCATGTGACATGAAAGCAGAAAGCGGGGTTGGGGAGACTGGAGGAGAGTGGGAGGGTGGAACCCAAGGAGGGGGGAGAATTATCAAAAATGTATTTTATTCAACAAGGCTGCTATGATACATAGCTGTTTGTATTCTCATTGAAAAAACTAAATTTTAGAAGTATTGTTTTTCTTAATAATTTATTTACTTTTATTTTATGTGCATTGGTGTTTTGCTTATATGTATTTCTGGCCAAGGATGTTGGATTCACTAGAACTGGAGTTATGGACAGCTGTGAGCTACCATATAGGTGCTGGGAATTGAATCCAGGTCCTCTGGAAGAGCACCCAGTGCCCTTAACCATTGAGCCATCTCTCCAGCTCCCTAGAAGTGTTTTTTAAAAATATAAGACCATGACTGGGCATAATGGAGCACAGCTTTAATCCCAGCACTCTAGAGGCAGAGGCAGGTAGACCTTTGAGTTGTAGGTCATCCTGATTTGCATGGAGGGGTCCAAGACAGCTAGTACTACTTACCGAAACCCTGGATTTTTTTTTAAATCTGCTTTCCTCTTTCAAGATTTTTTGTGTTTATGTGTATTTTGATTGCAATATGCCTGTGCACCCCTGTGTTCTTGGTGCTCACAGAAGCCCGAAGACGGTGACAGACCTAGAACTGGAGTTACAGATGGCTGTGAGCCACTACGTAGATCTAGGAATCAAACCCTGGTCCTCTGGAAAAACAGCCAGTCCTCTTACCTACTGAGCCATCTCTCCATGTTTTGGAAAAACATCATATAAAAAAAAATCTGTTTTCATTTGAACCCATCCAGTTCCCATTCTATAGCTTAGGTTCTTCATCCTGTCCTTGTGTGTTTGGGAATACTGACTCACTGTGGTTCCTGCGGAGAACTCTGGTTCCAAACACATAGCTGTGTTTCTCTGTGTTAGATTCTATCCTCCAATACTTACAACAATGCTGTCTGCACCAATGTCACAGCCCTACCAATCTCACCAGGGAGATTTAGTTGTATTCTTGCAGACTGTAATTGACACACAGCACAGGTGCTATCCAATGACTCGTGAGTGAGGTTTGGATGGGTGAGGAGTTTTCTGGAGCAGAGGGAAGACAGGGGGTGGCAGGTAGGAGAGGGCCGTGTGTCCACCGCAGTGGCTTGAGCTGTTCTTTGCTTACAGTGGGGGGAATAAGAGGGTTCATGTGGGAGCTGTGTGGAGCAGGTGAGAGGAGATGGCTGGGAGGGTCTTGAACATGGGCTGGATCTTGGGGTCCACACGGCAGGTGCTTAGGAATCTCTAGAAGTATCAGTAGTGTCCTAGTTAGAATTTTTTTTTGTCAACTTGACACAAGCCAAGGTCATCTGGGAAGAGACAACTTCAGGGGGAAAACTGCCCCGTAGACAAGTCTGTGGGACGTTTTCTCGACTCATGATTGGTGTGAGGGGAGTCTAGTTCACCGTGGGTAGTGTCACCCCCTGGGCAGGTGGTTTTGGGTACCCATTGTATAAGAAAGCAAGCTGAGCAGGCCATGGGAAGGAAGTCAGTAAGCAGTGCTCCTCCATGGTCTCTGCTTCGGTTCCTGCCTTGGCTTCCATGACGGACTACAACCTGTAAGTCAAACAAACCCTTTCCTCCCAAGTTGCTCTTGGTCATGGTGTTCATCACAGCAAGAGAAACCCTGCATAAGACAAGTAAGAAATATGGATACTGTGAGACAGGAGCCAATCACGAGATGGCTCTGTACCATCCGAAGTGGAGACACTGGGATTCCCCAGAGTCAACGTGGGTATGGGAGCACACCCTCCCTGAGCTGTGACATGGGTGACTTGTCTCCGCTTCCTGTTTCTCCCCCATCAAGGGCAGTTTCCGGCTCCAGCTTCAAAAGAACAAACACTCAAAACAAAGGAAGTGGTCCTCAACCACGGGAAGCAGGAAGTGTCTGCTGGGTCCTCGGCTGAAGCCCAGGGACAGTGGGATGGAGTCCGTGGCCCTGTACAGCTTTCAGGCCACAGAGAGTGACGAGCTGGCCTTCAACAAGGGGGACACGCTCAAGGTACCGAGCTGGAGCTGGGCTGGTTGGGCTAACAGGGGTGGTGGGGTTGGAATCAGGGTCCAGGATAACCCTGGTAGTCAGAGCTGTGAGGACTCAGCTGAACCACCTCTGTGTCCCTCAGTTTCTCTGTCTAGGAAATGGGAATAGTGATTACCTCCCTTTGGGGCCATTGTGAGAGTCTGAGGCAGCTGCCACGGTGCCTGGCAGGAGTTCGTTCAATCCTCCAGTTTTGTACTTTAAAACAATAACGACTGAGAGAAAGAGAATTAGAGAGAGAGGGTGTAAGTGAGAGAGAAAGAGAGACAGAGACAGAAACCGTGTGTGTGTGAGACAGTTGGTCTAGAATAAGCCGACATCCTAAGCAAGTAGGGCCAAGA